CTCTTATTGTATGAAAATAAGGTTATACAGTTATAAAGATGCAAGCATCTTTAATACCATCCAACTTTAAAGTAACGCTGACTCTATTTAGAATAAGAAAAGAAAAGAAAGGCATGACACTGGATTGAAGCTGACAGAACACTAATGTAACGCTTTGGATAATTATAATTAACGCTATTATCACTTCACTAATTTTTCTGTGGTTAAAGATAATTCAGTCATGCTTTTGTTAGCATGTTCTTTTTCCAGGATTCCTGCCAAAAGACCATTACCATACCCTCTTATTGTATGAAAATAAGGTTATACAGTTATAAAGATGCAAGCATTTATCTGCAGCTGATTTGAACTGAGTTGTAAATAAAGCCTAGTTGGTGTTAAATGCAGAAAATATATTGGAAAGTAAAGAAGAGAAAAAGACAAAAATCCCAAGGAAAAGAATTACACAACGGTCTTGGCAGTTGAATTGTTTTCTTCACTAAACTCTTACAGTGGGAGTTTATATGTATTTCCAAAGATGTCTGAAGTGCTTTCATGTTGCAGATACTCAATCCTATAAAATATAAAAAAAATCCAATCTCTGGGCTCTTTAATTGACTTGAATATGTGGAACAAATTATCCTTTTATTCAGATATTAAAAAAAAGAACAATGCATTCACACCCAGCATTTAAGCTAAATGGCCACAAAATCACAGACAGTAAATGTGTTATAGATCTCTATTCTCTAAGAGTATCTGCTGACCTCACAGTCTGTTTGAAGTCAAAATGGTTGGTGGTAAAAACCTACATTTAAAATTTTATTTGATTGACTCACATGACTGAAAAAAGCCAAAAAAACAAACAAAAAGAACAAATCTATCTGTTTCAAAATTCTAATCTGAGCTTATTTTAATTCTATTGTATGTGCATTAAAGCTGTTTATATAATCTGTCATTTCTTTACCTGTTTAACAGTTATTTGAAGAACACCTGGAGTGAACATAAAGCCCCAAAGTTTATTGCACCGTTAGTAAATCAACAGCATGCTAAGTGAGTACAGGTTTTGTTTGAGGATATCTAGTATAATACTTACTGGTTCTTATATTCCAGCAGCAACATAGAACTGACAGCTTTCAGGAGAGGTTTAATTACTCACAGCAACACTAATGTAGCTCAGGGAAATTTTAGGTCACATTAGGTCTGTTTAGACAAAGATGACAATGACAATCACACTAAAAACCTGATATTCTTCCATATTTTACATAAAATAAATCACTTGTAAAATTTAAAATTAGTTTGCCAGGCTATGTGTGTGTTTGAGGGATTAGGGCAGATTTGCTTAAAAACATAAAATTACCCTCAGAACCATGCTACGTGCCATTTCGCAGGAGCGTCTGGGAACAGTTGCAATTTCAGTGGAAAGTGGTCAGTGTTTGGCAGGCAGCCTAATGGCAAGGAGGCGGGGATAGCGATGGTGTGTATGATACTATCTTCAAGTGCATGTGAGTTTCTTTATACGTGTATGAATGTACCCACTTGGGGTAAATGTATTTAAGTAGATGCATGTGTGTGTATTGGTGTGTTACTGTGTGGGCTCTGGGGTACTGATGTATGAGAAGAATGTGTGCTGGCCGGTCATAACGCAGCATTAACATTCGCAGACGGGGCTAATTATAATTGACTCTGTGTTTCAATACAACCCCTCTATGTCTAAAGTATTAACCACCTGACCACTAATTGAGAGAAGAGTTCGTACTCGGGCCGATAAGACTTACCAGGTAGGGGTTAATATTTAAGATGCAGTTATTTTTCACATCTTTGTATCAGTAAAATTCAGTGTGCTAAATAATGATTTTCTATGCATGTCAAAAACAACAACCATGATGTAACGATTTTGGAGGACATTAAAAATGCTCACACCAGCTAACTATACCTTAGCCCTCTCCCTGTGTTCATTTTTACTGTTCACAACAGAAGATGTATGTAATAAACTGATTTTTAATAACATCTGCAGCTTTTGAGGTTTTTTCATGTTAAGTAAGACCTGAACATTTAGCTTGGTGTATTTCATCAAGTTGCTCTTAAACATAAACCCATATTAGTTTTGTTTTCATTTGGAGATGTTCCAAAGATATTCGGTTTTGTAATATCCAAGTTACCTCTTCCTAGTCTTCCTATGGGTACGCCAGCATTCATAACATGTAGGCGAATCACTGTCCCCCAGACATCCTTGGTTATATTTTTTATTTCTATTTTTTTTAAAACAAAGCAGAGTGTGTATGACGTCGTCTGAGCGCACCGGCTACCATTCTTTCATCCTGTCCGCTGAACTGCAGCTTGTTTTACTCACATGCCTGGAACATGTCTAGTGCTACTACCACAGATGATCTTGCTCTCGAAATGGAATTGAACGATTCAGATTTATAGCAGAATGAATAGAAGGGGTAGAGCGTAGCCGCCTGTGGCCCTCTTATATTAATTCCTAAAGAGGGATTCATACAAATAACGATCATTTTTAAAAATTCAATTTCCCACTGTCCTTACAACCCACATTATCTGCCATTACTTGATCAGTTTGCTGATAAATGTTAATATAATACTAGTATCTATAAGTTGCATTACTACACAGTCATGTAAGTCAAGAAACAAATTTATTTTTTATACCAGCAATCCAATTTCAGATGGGACCAAATGGGATTGATCAAAAAGAATCGATTCTGAATTTTGACATTTGGAAATAAATCACTTATTGAAAATAGAACTCATACTTAGATGCATATAACATATAACAGTTTTTTTTTTTTTTGCATATCTCATTGAAGAAAACGCTACTTTTACTATTTTTATAAGTTAACAAAACTGCTCGAAGATAGCTCAAGGAAACACAACATGAGACACTATCGACCTAAAACCAAATGCTACTATAAAATCCTACAGTTGCTTAAATTTGACTAATCTGTGTTACTCCTGAAATGTGAAAAAAAATCTACAGTGCTAGTCATCTGTGAAAACGCTTGGTGATAAACAGTTTTCAGCTAGAAAACAAATCTAATCTTTTTCTGATTTGAAATAAAGTTCTTAAGTGTTACGAGATGCATAAACAACACCCTTTGTTACTGAGAGAAGAAGCCTTAGCTTCAGTGAAGAGTTTAAAAATGAAAGGAACCACAAAACGTGTAAGAAGAAATCTTTGTAGTTGTTATAAAACGCTGTAATTTCTACAGTAAGAAAACCCAGTGTGCTAGGGCAGTGATTCCAAACCCAGGGTAATCGTACCCCTAGAGGTCTACGAGTGCATTGCAAGGGGTACAGGAAAATAATTTCTTCATTAGGTAGTAAAATAAAATGTGGCTGGATCTGTTTTGCATTATAAGGACCACATTGAAAAATATTAAACAAGCTTTTATCAAAAAGTACATTTGTCTTATATGATTGAGTTCACCTGCAGCTGTGACACACATCAAAACCAAGCAGAGGAATCAGCCTGGAATCGGCAGTTTTTTACACTGAGATATCTGAGCTCATCAAAGAAGCTCAGGTGTCTTGATGAAAAGACAGCAAAACTAGTTAAGTCAGTCTCACTACAAGTTTTGTTCCCAATTCCCAATGTTTAAATATGATTATAAGAGGATTATTCAGAGGAACTCCAGTTGTATAAAAAAAAAAAAGGTTTATAATATAATTTTATGTTGTATTTATTATGATTCCTTACCAACTTCCAGTTAAAAATATTTATGTTGTTGTTTTTTTTTTTTTATTCGAAATGGAAAGAATAAAAGGCCTAATATTTTACGCACATCTGCAAAAAGAAAATTCTTTCATAGATGTAGAAAGAGAAGCTTGGGGTCAGAAATGGCTTTACAATCATTCAGCTCTATCAGTTTTCCCTCCAGATGATCATAACTAAATTAGCTCTTCATTTTAGTTTGCTGTCAAAAGAGACGGCAACAGATTTTCTGTCTTTCTGATGATTTCTTGTTACGGGGCATGCTATAACTATGTTGAAGATTTTAATGGAAAGCGTTTTATTCCATTTAAATGGGAACCACATGGAGATGTAAGACTATTACAGTGTCTTGGCATCCTCCACCTTTATTGCAGAACAGCAAATACTTTTTTATATATGGACTGAAAAAAAGCAATCTTTTCAAAGTTAAGAATATCTGCTCAATCTTAATTCACATTAATACATCATATTTTTTATTATTTCCTTTCTGGAGATACAAGGCTTGTATTCTTCATAATCCTAAAAAGTCATTTTTAGCCACATTTGAGTTGAACTCCAGCCAAAACGGTCCAATGTCAGCTATAGCCTTGTCTCTGCTTTTACTTCTTCCTGATCTGTATTACATTACAGTAAAACCAATGGCTCTCTAGCAATATATTACCACAACAGGCAGAGGCAAATGAATGGATAATGCAGTTTCAACATATCTGTTGCAGCTAATTCATTGGGGATTACAACCATTTTACCGATGACACAGGATGCTATGTGTACACGCACACATCAACATACCATATAAAAAAAAGAAAAATTCCCAAACAATCCTGGTTAATATTACATTGCTGCTACACATGTTCTCTACTTTTCAACTTAACTGATTTGTTGTGAAGAAATCTGTTATAGTTGTAGACAAAATTAGTAACCTACACATATCGGAAGATCTCTCAGGCTTTTTTCATACAAAACTTCAAGTCATTGATATTTTACGTGTATTTTTTTTGGTTTTACAAATGGAACTGACATCAAATAAATGTAAACTTGAAATAGTTGGGTTAAGCTCATAAACAGTTGATGCTTTGATGCCCAGTGATTTATGGATTTAAATCACAGCATGTAGCAATCTTGTTTCTTATAGCTAAAGAAGCTCTCTATATATACATATATATATATGTATATATATATATATATATATATATATATATATATATATATATATATATATA